AGGTCCAGAGTCACCTTTTTGGATATAATTACTAATTCGGTGCTTGGATAACTCGAAAATAAAATTGGTCGTATTATGCAAGTAGGGCTTGCTTTTGCGCTCCCCTCCTTCACCTCATTCCCATACATTCGAGAATTTTGTCCAGAAGCATTATGTTTTCCATCGAAATGCAAACTCACAATTCAGTTTTAGAACGCCAAGCTCCCACGCCTCCAGAGAGACGGAACCAAGTTCGCTCTCGGACACGCCAAGACTGTTCCACTCCGCAAGGCCCTCACTCCAGTCGTTCTATTAGAGGTTTTACGGTAACCTACTTTTTGATGTGTAATCTGCTTACAATGATCACATTTCAACGTCTTCTCATCGGATTTCATTTCACATAAACAGTAGAGACATTCAGAATCATGATTTTCTCGTTTATCACATTCCAACCAGTATTCGTTCATAAATCGATCAGAAAATGCAGGTGGTTTTGAAAGTGGAGAATAAATAGAGACTAAAATCTCTTGTTTCCTTCATTTTCTGAATATTCAAATCCATTAATTGAGTGTAGTTCTGGAAATTCGCTTCGTATTGTTGATATTCATACTGGGCTAATTCACGAATTTCCCATCGATTCGACATTGTGATCAATCTGCAAAATCAATCAATAATTCTTCAGAAATTGGGAGTGAAAACTAACTTATCAGTCATGTTTCTTGCTAGTTTCAGTTGTTCTTCATTTTGGAATCGATCTTTAATATTTCGAAGACGTTGAAGAGTTTATGTTGCTTCTCCGAGACCATCATTGAATTTTTTAGCTTCCAATTTATCCAAAAAACTACGAACCAGTGTGTGCTATCGGTACGGTTTCGGTGAATTTACCGGTAAGTTTACCGGTAACTTACCGGTAGTTTTCCTAGAAATTACCGGTAGTTTTCGGTAAATTTACCGGTAAGTTACCGGTAAATTAACTACTGGTAATTTCTAGGAAAATTTTCTGCTTTTTTTTTCAAAATTTGGAACCGCGACGTTTTAGAAGCGCGACATTTTAGAGCTGTACTACTAATGCCGCCACCCTTTCGCGCGCGCCTCCAAATGCAGGCGCGCGCTCACCGGCTCCATAACTGGCTTCAGAAAAGAGATAGAGCCCTCTGATCGTCAGAATACGTACTGTCCGAGAATCTTGAAGACGTCCCGAGCCACTAAAACTTCTATTCATCATAACTCGGTTATTTTTTACGCTAGAGAGTTTATCTTACCACCATTCGAACGCTCTCTTCAAGCTAAACACAATGAAATCTACTTCATCACATAAAGTAGGCGGCACATATGGGTTACTTGGTGTCCTGTGGTGGAAGCCTCGGCAGATTTTTTGGAGGTTCTTACACGGCTTAATTTTGAAAAGCTAGCTCGGCAGCTAGGCGTGTTATACGTAAAATCATGAGAGGCTTTGGAATCTAATGGTATCGGTTAAATAATTATTTTGACAAAAGTATATCAAAAACCAACAGAAAAATTTGAAGTTTTCGGTCTCTGAATCGGCGGGTCGGGCCGGGCCGGGAAAATTTTTCTCCAGCCGCAGCCAGGGTCTACCCGGGCTGGGCCGGAATTTTCAGCAAGTATGGTTTTTTCTGCTCCAAAAAATAACTTTTTCTGTGTTAGTTTTCTTGCTCGGCAACCGATACCATTAGATTCCAA